TGCACAGATCAGGGAGCAGCTTACGGACCGCAGCAGTAGGACTTCTGGGAGCTATCTTCAGTCCAGGGACTCTCGAGGTAGCCTAGCTGGCGTTCGCAGGCCGAAGTCCCTTTCTATGTTTTTTTTCGTTAGTTCATCTTGTATCAGACATACATGATGTACTTCCTTTCAGACATTGTTTGTAGTATTCTGTAGTAGTCCGTGAGCTAGTGACACCAGACCTTGGGTAGTGATGTGTATTAAACTTCTGCACTTTTGTTTTTCAGTTGCTTTAGATTTAAAGTCTTCCGCTTAAATTTTGTCTCGTTTATTATATTGTTTGAAAGAAAGCAGGAAAGGTGTTTTAAATATTTGGCTTGCCTAGCTCCGATAGTAGGCGCCATCACGACACCCGATGGTGGGAAATCCGGGTCATGACAACTTAAGCCCTTGGTTAAGATATGATCAGGTTGATCAGCAGACCTCAAGTAGACTGTTTGAACTAAGCCTAAATGAATTTTCTCACGGATGAAATTACAATCAATGTCAATATATTTTGTTTGTTCATGGAACACAGGATTGGCAGTAATTTGCATTGATGATTTACTGTCCCAATGAAGGGGAACATGCAATGTGAGAGCAACACCCAATTTATTGAACAAACCAACAAGCCACACAATCTCAGCCACTGTTGATGCTAGACTACGATACTCTGCCTCAGCAAAACTCCTGGAAATAGAGCTTTGCTTCTTGGACTTCCATGAAATGAGGGAGTCACCAAACTGCACCAAGTAACCAATGATTGATTTTCTGGTATTAGGACAAGCTGCCCAATCAGCATCACAATAAGCCTTTAATTGTGTAGATGAAGTAGTTGACATAAGAATCTCCAGACCTAGGCTTTGTTTGATGTACCTAACCACCCTAAGAGCTCCTTCCATGTGAGAACTCTTGGGAGCTTGCATAACTGGCTTAGACATTGTTTAGCAAAGGAGATATCTGTCCTTGTAATTATCAAATAGAGGAGTTTGCCTATCAGTCTTTGATTGGCACCAGGATCTTCAAGAAAGGAATCATCCTTAAGACCAAGGTGATCATCATATATAATTGAGGTGAGTTTTTGATTTATCTCGACGGGAGCATGAACATGCTTAGTTCCTGCAAGACCAACATCTGAGATGAGCTCAAGAGCATACTTTCTCTTGTGCAACAGTATCCCTTCTTTGCTTCTAGCAAATTTAATGCCCAAAAAATACCTCAACTCTCCCAGGTCTTTGATTTTAAAGTTTTGATGTAGAATCTATTTGGTAGTAGAAATAAGGTCTGCACCATCACCAGTAATCAGAAGGTCATCAATATAGACCAAAACAACTACAATATGAGAGTCATATTTCTTAGTGAACAGGAAATAGTCAAAATGACTCTGCTGGAATCCTGAATTAAGAAGTTATGTGGTCAACTTAATATTCTATTGCCTCGAAGCTTGCTTGAGTCTATATAGTGACTTAAGCAATTTGCACACCTGTGACTTCCCTTGTTGATGTGAGAGAAACCTTGGGGTAAAGTTATGTACACTTCTTCCTCCAAATCTCCTTTCAAGGAAGCATTATAAACATCTATTTGATAGAGAGTCCATCCTTTGGATGCTACTATAGAGACTACAGACCTGACATCAATCATTTTAACTACGGGTGAAAAGTTTCTTGATAATCCAATCCCTCCTTTTAACTATTTCCTTTAGCCACTAATCGAGCCTTATATCTTTCAACTTCCCCACTGGATGTGTATTTGATTTTGTACACCCATTTGCATCCAATTACCTTTTTCCTGGAGGCAATGGCACCATCTCCCATGTCTTGTTGTCCTCCAACGCTTGTATCTCTGCCTTCATAGCTTCAATCTATTTCACATTCGTAGCAACCTCATGATAAGAACTTGGTTCAATCTCAGAAGACAACAAAGTTATGGAGGCCTGATATGAAGCTGATAATCCTTTATACTGAATAAGATCACCAATAAGATATTTACATTAAACTGTAGTGGAAGAATTGACTTTTGTTATGGCCCAATGTAATCCTTAAGCCAAATAGGAGGATTAGTAGTTCTAGCTGACCTTCTCAACTTCCCAGTATCACTTGTGTGTCCTTCATGTCTCTCAACAATTAATTCTTCTGCAAGTGGCAGTATAGAAGTAGCTGGTGATGAATTAATGCTTCTGGGAACAAGCTCAAAAATTGTAGGAGATGCAGGTGGAACTAAGTTGTCCCTTTCTCTATCACGGGAAGGCAGAACATAGGAGGCTGATCAGTAGGATAATCAAGCCTCTAAAACTCATTTATAGAAAAAGAGGAATCTTGACTGAAACCTTGGAATGAATATATATCTTCATGAAATAGCACATCCCTACTAACAAAGAATGTCCTGTGTTCAATGTCATATAATCTATATCCCTTATGTGTACTTGCATACCCTAGAAACACTGACTTCATAGACCTAGGTGCAAATTTATCACCCCTTGGAAGATTAGTTGCAAAACACAGGCACCCTATGATCCTCATATGTAACAAAGAAGGGTGTTTCCCATATAGGACTTCAAAAGGTGATTTGTTTCCTAGAATGGTAGAAGGAACCCTATTTATTACGTACACAGCTTCATCCACACAGTTACCCTAGAACCTCACTGGCAAGTGCCCCTGAAATCTGATAGCCCTTGCAGTTTCCAAAATGTGCTTGTGCCTCCTCTCCAGTACTCCATTTTGTTGAGGAGTGTGTGGACATGAGCTTTGATGTATAATCCCATGCATTTGAAACAAATTAGCACAATTATGATTGAAGAACTCAGAACCATTATCTGACCTAAAACACTTGATCATTCGACGAAATTGAGTTTTCACCAAAATAATAAAATTTTTGAGGACTGTAATGACATCAAACTTAAGATGTAACAGGAAAATCCAAATCCACCTAGAATGATCATCAACCATTGTGAGAAAATATCTCTTTCCATTATATGTAGGAACTTTATAGGGTCCCCAAACATCTATATGTATCAAATCAAAAACATGATCTGCTTTGCTACTACTAATTAGAAAAGGTATCCTAGCTTGCCTTGCTAATGGA